CTAAAATGAAGCACTCACCATGCTCTTGCCTTACAGAAGCTTATGCAACTACAAAATTGCGCAATTTCCAAACTGAGCTAGGAAAATGGGAAGTTTTCCTCTCCCGCTGGCCGATTTTCCCCTTGCTGATGGTGAGAGTAAGCAGACGACATGATCATCAGGTTCTCTCTCCATGGAAGCGAGGCGTTGATCTTGACTTTGATGGTGTGTTGCAGTCAGTCACGGAGGAGGAGTGGAGTGGGTCCGCCCATGACTGCCTTTCCTACCATTAGTGATCGGTTAGTGATCGATTCAGGATGAAAACAACCAGTTGTATTAGACGCTGTGGGTGGGCTCACTGCATGCCTCTTGACACCGCCCCGGCCAATTGCGACTATAGGATCACCACCCCAGCCAACTACCAGTTGCGACTGTAGAGAGAGTCCTCTTTGGTGGCTTAACGTTGCGAGCAGGCGGTCATCCTAAAAAGTCTCGAAGACTTGGTTCGCTACGAGGGACTGGGTCTTCGAGGCTTTCGAGGGCCTCCCCAAGCCGAATTGCGCCTGACTCTTTTTTATTGTTTTGTGTTGCTGCGTGCTGCTGCTGCTGGTCCGTCGTCATAATCATAATTAAAAAAGAGTCCCGTCGGTAGTGCCTGTGGCAAACGGTGGCGCTGACTTGTTCACCCTCCAAGGGTCAAATCCCTATTGATTTCCACCAAATAGACAACGCAGTACGCACATAGAAGTGGTGGGCATGGCGCACTCCAAAAAGGATTAATCAACGCTGAAAGCTTGTTTCCTACCTAACAACCTTATTACCAAGGAAGGGGAAAAGCAGTACCGTATAAAAATTTGAAAGCCATAAGGCTTTGTGAGGGGGGGGGGGAGCATGTTGCACATTTCGCCCACTTCCCATCCAATGGTCCGAGTTGCTATCAAGGTGGAGAACTCTGTGAAAGTTTGTGAAGCTGTAGATACTACTTATCAGCTCTCATAAAGAATCCCTGTCAGTACTCGTAAGGCGATGAACACGCAGATGGAAGTTGTGAAGTGCAAAATTGACTCCCACCAAAGCCGCGACTGCGTGCTGAAATTTTTTTTCTTCTTTTATTCTCGGATTCTTCTTGCTTTTCTTCTAGGACTATTCTCTCTGTCTGCAGGATTTACCATTACTCTCAGCCTTTTCTTCTCCATTGAACTGCCTCGTTCTCATGCGCTTTCTTGTGGGGGTTATGGCTTTGCACTGACGCTAACTGGGTGACTGACATCAATCGGCGCTCCATCGCAGTGTCCGCGAATGATTTTATGCACTTTGCAGCAATGTTCTGGAAACTCCAAAAAAGCATCGTTCAATATCCATGGCCTCTGCTTCGTGGCTTTCACAATCAATAGCCTCAGCCCTGCGCTACGGCTCTGGCATCGTTATGTCAGGATAACCCACGTTTATTTATGTTTTCTCGGAACAAACTTGAACCTCGAAGTTTTGATAGAGTTCCTCTTTTTCTCTTGTTGTTTTTCTCTTTGTGCTCTTTTTCCACCCCCCAGCCCCGATCGAAATTGCGATTGAAAGATCTATCTAGAAAAACAAATTGTTTGTTAAATGACCATTGAAAATTCCCCATAATTTGTAATAATCTACATTGCTATACTTGTTAGCTTTTTTATTGGCCTGAATTGATTCCTACATATTTTGGCACAATTCGGCCTGGAAAGGGCATTTTGCACTCTCACCAGTTCATCTTGGTAGTTCCTGTTAAATTACATGTCATTAAAATTATTCATAAAATAACAACAGTCTGCACTGTTATACTTGTTAGTTATAATTCATAGACCTGAATTGTCCTTATTAGCCGCAATTCGGCTTAGGAGGGGGCATTTTGCATCTGCGCTAGTTCCTGTTGATAGTTTATGTTATATTGCATGTCATTGAAAATGCCTCATGCCTCAAAAATCATCATCTCGTTGTTGTAATTGTAAGCCATTTTTTATTTGTCTGAATTGTTTCCTATTTTAGCGCAGTTCGGCTTGGGAGGGACATTGCACTCTCTTTAGTTCCTTTATTGGAAATTCCTGCTAATTCACACGTCACAACTTGGTAAGACCTGTAAAGTTAGTCAAGTGGAAACAAGGTCATGCTTTTTCATAGCTTAACGGGAATTAACAGGTCTCCATTGATGGAAACCAGCTAGATGCTCCTTCCAAGCCAAACTGCGCCCTGTTTGTATCGAATTCGCGATTTTTTTTAATATTTCAATGATTCCAGTAATAACTAGAACTTTCTAGACTATGGTGCCTTTGCTGCCGTTTTATCTGGTCACTGTAACACTGGGATTGTCTTTGGCATGCATGCTCACGTTGTTCTTCCCCTCATGTCCATCCATCGTACCTGCACTGACAACCTATGGAGTCTCAGCTCTTTATCTCAAGGACAAGATCCAGTTTATACAGGCTATATCTGTCCCAAAGAAGTGAGTCATTTGGTCCTAAGGTGAGCTTCAGATATGATTCGAGTTTTGTTTCAGGTGGTTTTGGCACTTTTATCTGTTGGGTTCGTTTTGGGTGGCATCTTGGATGCTGTTTTGTGGCGCTGTTTCACATGACATGACAGTTCCATCGGATTCGTTGAAGAAATTTTTCAGGCTACTTACTCCTGTAAAACCGCAGCGTGAGTTGGGCTGACTAAAGTCAGTGGGCATGATTGCTGGAGGCGGGCGGTTGTGGTCAACGTCATTGGTGGAAGGGCTGCGTGGGGTGTGGCCAAACGCCCTCTCTCAGAGCTTCCCCAATGACGTTGACTACAACCGCCCGCCTGCAGCAATCGTGCCCACTGCCTTTAAGTTAATGAGTTTTCAGTTTCATCAAAATGAAATGATTAGTTTCGTAGGTTTTTCCTAGAAAACTAATCAGATTCCTCCTCTAGTGCGAACTTTCGATATAGTCAAGACGGGGCTGAAGGTCAAGTGTAGTCCAATGATTCCCGTGGAGGACAAATTGCGTGTTGTGTCAATAATGTCCTCTTTTGAGGAAGGGGGAGGGGCATATTTTACCCAACTGTTAATCTCTCGCATCCCTACGAGTACATATTTCTATGGAGATCGTTGGGAATACCAAGGAGGTTCTAAAAAAGGGCCATAAATATTCAGGTGGTTTGCTGTTGGTTGGTGAGTGGCATGCGCCGAGGCAGTTCGGCGACGGGGGCGTTTTGCACTTCTGCTACATTCCGTCCACCTAGCTAGACAGCCTCTTCTTGAGTTGACAGGTTTTACCATGATGGCTTGACGAGCTTGCTCCAGCTTCACAAGAGTTCACAGGTTTCACCAGAGTGAGACTTGTAAACCGGAACTAGTGAAGCAACAAAAGTGCCCCCCCCCCCCCCCGTCGTCGAACTGTGCCAATACGGTGAGCAGAGCGTGGAAAGTAGTAATGGCGGTGATGTGACATAGGTGTTGGAAATTAGTGTGCAATGGTATTGGCTACTGGAGAGCGATTTGTTGGTTTTTAAGTGCAAAACTTCGACCACGGCAGGATTCGAACCTGCAATCTTCTGCTCCGTAGGCAGACGCGTTATCCATTGCGCCACGCGGCCACACTCTAGCGTGACTGCTGTGGTATCCTTTCTTCCACAGAAGGAACAGCATCGAAACAGGTGAAATGGCGGTACCAGTGCAACATCATCCCTACTATGTTTCCAGTTTCTCTCAACTTTTGCGAAAAATTCGCACTTCTTCCCCACGAAACTGACCTCAAGCGACGGGGGGGGAGGGGGGGGGGGGGGGGGAGATGCTGCAGCCGATTATCAGAAATAGTAACTGTACAGTAGCTGGCCACGTCACGAACTAGGGCGGACAACTGCCACTGAACAAATTCTACCCCTCCTCCACAGCGGCCAAGTTTGACCTTCTGATAAGATTCTCTCATCGAAGTTTCAAAGGCACTTGGCACGATAAACCTCTAAGGCAAGTGGGATTGATACGCCTGGCAGGACGGAATTCCGCGACCCTGAGCAGGCGCTGCGTAGCGCCTTTCCAAGGTACCCTTATAAGGGCCCTATCAAGCTACAACATACCGACCCGAACGCCCACCACGCCCGCCCGCCCACAAATGGACGACCGTACCTGATGCTCGTATTGCTTCATTTGCGAAGTAAAATATGAAGCGAAGGGATTGATATGAAGCGGCCGCGGTGCTGCATGGATATATGAGTACATACATGCAGCCGTACCTACCGTAGCGGTTACTTGGCAAGATGCCTACGGGAAACTCGTCCGAAAAAAACGAAATTACTTTTTGAGTCATTGAGAACGAAGGCTTTTCTTCGCAGGTTTTTGACCGTTTCACTTCGTTTTTTCGCCATTTTCCCCACTATATAGCGCCCTGCTAGCATTTTAGGCCGATTACCAAATTATCGTGCTAACTGCCTTTGAGTGATTTTGCATTATGCACGGGGCACATTATCTTACTGTCCTTTTCCTGAACTCCCCTATTATCCTTCTGGCTCACGGCGGGCCCAGTTCTTTGGGCTGTTCTTTCCATACCCTGCAGAAGAAAACTTGAGGCGAATTCTATAGGGGATTGAGTATGAAAAACGTTGGAGAGGTAGATGTAATCATTATCATCTTTGTTAGTAGTAAAAGGTGGCAGCCCATGCTTGTTGAGTAGGAGGAGTCAGACCTAGTTATGTACCTTCCTCAATAGTGTGATCAGTCCTCCTCTCGTCTGCCTTAGAAAGGAGCGACCCCTTGGGCCTGACTCCTCCCACCCGATCAGTTGAACTGTGCCTTTAAGTTCGGCATTTACAATATTCTATCCACTCACTGGTTTCTTCTTTCAGATAATTGGTCCACTACGAATTCTCGCTTTAAGTTTAGTGCTTTTTCATGTTGTGCGAAGGCTATGGGAATCAGTGAGTTTGCTGCTGTTTTCCAGCACGTTCTGAGAGCGGGTTCATACTTCGCGATCCGATCGCTTGGATCGCGCGATCCAAGCGACCGGATCATGAAGTATGATCGGATCTAACTGCATTATTATTATTTAGCTTTATTTAGCTGTGCATTTCTGTTTACTCGGATACCACCATGAACTTGTTCCATTACGTAGTTGGACTTATTCACTACACAATTTTACCACTCACTATAGTCTGTGAATCAAGAGGCATCGCTAACACCGCATACGGTAGGTTTGAGTAGCTTTGGTACTCTTGTAGCTGCTAGACATCATCCAGTTTCAGCTTCTGGCACAGTAAGTGGGAGGGGACATTTAGTTCCCAAGTAACGAGAGTGCAAATGTCCTCCCTTAGCCCAACTGCGCCTAGCTTGTTTATTATCTGACCATGATCATGAACACGTAATTATCCTCCGGGAAGGCATAATCCACGGTGACCCTATGGGCGGAGTCATACCTACCGCTGAGCATTTCTAACTGGTGCATTCCTTCTGCCTGAAAGGCCCTGTTTTGTCCTGTCAGAAATTTCCGTCGTAGGAGGAGCGCAACAGGTCTGGTATGTGCTGGAAACCCAGCTTCCTTAATACGAGCCAAAAGTCACTTGCCATGGCTCTTCTGTTTGATAGCTGTTCGGCTTAGAGGGGGCATTTTGCCCTTCCGCTTGATCCTCTTGCTCATACGTGTCAACTAACATGTTAACACATGTGAAGCTTTGGGAAATTGCGAAATGGTAAAGTGAACCATTTCAGTTACAAGTATTTACGAGTATTCACAAGCTTGTACAAGCCTCGCTGAGTACCATTTGATGCCACGACCAAGCTGGCCTGCGCTCATACCTCCAAAGCATCGCTAGTAGGGCAAGGGGCGCACCAATAAGAGAGACACAGTGGTGGGGCTGACTCCGCCCATACGATCAGAATGGACTGTGCCTATAACTGGCCTACTCTGTGTACTAACATTTATTATAGGTCCTATATTTTCGACGTCTGAAATCTCTTCGTGCCAATGGTTTGGTGTGGCGCTTTTCCTTTTCTGTAATCGAGAGCAGCACTTAATCTCTAGAAATATTGCTGCACTAAGGAAAGCACCAGATGGTTTTTCGATGATATTAATTTTTCTATACAGTATGATTGTGCGTCAGTGAAACTGTGAAGTACTTGCATCTGCAGGTTCAGGACTAATTTTCAACTACGCGCATGGAATTTGCTATGGAGGCTGGTTTGACTATGTATCATGCCCTCATTTCTTCTTTGAAATTGGTATATATCTTTCACTTTGGATGGTACTCCCGAGCGCTTATGCTTACAAGGTGTGTTTTTCATTTCTCTCGAAAATATCTTCAACTGTATCCACGCTGACTACACTGCGTCCCAAAAGTATAGTTCCACCCATAAATCTCACAATATCCCGCCCTACACGACGTTTTCGAAAAAGCCTTGATAGAAAATGTGGTAATTACCAGTGCCAATTTGCATGCCAACACCGAGAACTAACTTTCCAGAGCAACTTCAATTTTCTTTATTTTTTGAAAATTTCTCACTTTGACAATGTCCCAAAAGTATAGTTCCACCGCATATTTTCCCACTGCGTTTGCCGATGGGCTCTTGAGCTTTCCCAATAAGAATAAGGGAGATGGGGACATCGAAGCTGTGCCCTAGCCCCCCCCCCCGTCTCCGATATCCAGCTGCATTACTCACTGTGGATGTCCACCCTCATTTCCACAAAACTTATACATATGACTATTATTTCACCCACAATACAAACAAAAATGGCAAGGTACCGAAGGGCGTCGTTCATTCTCTGTAGAACCCACGTGATCAGATCTCGCCCATTTCACCCAAACCCACAGCCTTCAAGGGTCGATTTATTGCCACAGAAGCTGGGCCTTGATGTAACAGAGAAGGCAGTGTGCGACAAAAAGCGCGCCCAGTCTAAGCTTGTCTGAACCCTGGCAACACCCAGTCGAGCTACATCAAAAGCTGTGATGGTTGGAGGGGGCAGACGAACAGAAAATGGGTATGTACTGGTCTGACAACTGACTGCTCCAGCTCTCAGCCCTATTTGGATGGATTAGACCAGCGATGTGAAAATTGTATGATACTCACAGGCCACCATGACCATTGAAGCTTTTATAATGGAGCAAAGGCAGTTCAGGCAGGCCAAGTTTTGACTATGCCACGTCATGTCTGCTTCTCTGTCCCCTCTCACCTTCCCACCGAATCTTGAATGTGGGGTTAGTGCGTCAAAAATCTTTGCATCAAATAGACAATCCACGCTGACCGTATGGGCGTAGTCAGGTCTGAACGTTTCTCCTTCGTGCAGTCCCTTTCTACGATGCTAGACGGCAGGGCGCTCGAATGATAAATGCACAATGGCGGGTCTGACTCCGCCCATATGGTCAGCGTGGACTGCGTTTCGGGACTCTAATGTTTGTTAGGAAAGTAAGGCTGCTATGGTATGGAGTACTCATACTGAAGCTTCAGAAAGACAAAAAGAGTAGAAAGGACAGGACGTGGCCCATTCGCTCGCTGCTCCTCCCTCTGACCCCCCCACCCCCACCCAATTTCCCCTTCGATTTTCGAAATCGACTCATAACTGCGTTCATATTTCAGTTTCTTATGATATTCGTCTTAGTCAATCAATTATTCGCTGGCCAAATTACTCATCGATGGTATCGAAGGACTTTCAAGGCGTATCCACTCGATCGAAAGGCGGTAATCCCGTATATTTTATAGTACTCAGGCATTTAATTCACTTAATAACTATTTTTTATCCGTTTTGTTGTTGTCCTGTTACCAAAATATCTACCCGCTGTTGAGTGCTCTTCAGAGCTGAGCTTTCATCATTCATAGTGAACCTTGTTAAATAGAGGAATCATGTTGTCTTTTGAACGTACAGTTCACGTTGAAATAATGGGCGGAGTCAGGCCCATGTGCCTTCTGATTGGCGTCCCTTTCCATCTGCAACAGAACAGAGGAGGAAAATAGTCAATAAAGAGAACCAAACAATAGGCCTGACTCCGCCTCTATGGTCAGCGTGGACTGTGCCATTAACGCATTATGGCGGATTTTTCTGCTCACTCTAGTCAAAATTATGGCTGATAGTATTGAGATCTGTTGTGATATGTTTAGATAATATGTCAGTAGTGCCGGTGCTTTTCGAAGGAAATCTTTCTGCTTGGATACCTTGTACTCGTAGTACTGTAGTATAGTTTAGTTTGAACCTTGCAATCAACAACAATTTATGTGAAATTTATTATACGCTGTGAATTGTCCTTTTGTTCATTTTTTTTGTTATGAAGGCTTTGTTTCACCACTGCGGGACCAAAGTTGACGAATTGGTTATAGTTAAAGGCAAACGGCACGGTAAATCAACCCTTTTAGCTGTAGGTAATAACTTATTATCACGCTCACAGTCCGAAATCTTAACGACTTGGGGTAGAAAGGCCAGTCTTCCTGTTTTGGGTAACAACTGAACCACCGTGGTTCAGTTGTTATCGCTGGAGCACGTTTGTCTTTAGCAGACGCTGCATGGCGCCCTCATCGCGCGTTCGGCACGGCGAGGGGGGGGAGGGGGCATTTTGCACTTTTGCTACTTCCCATCGACGTGTCGACCTATCTAGACAGCCTCTTCTCGAGTTGACAGGTTTTACCATGATGGCTTGACGACCTTGCTCCAGCTTCACAGGAGTTCGCAAGAGAGTGAGACCTTGTAAATCGGAACCAGGGAAGCAATAATAGTACAAAATGCCCCCCTCCCTCCACGTAATCGAGATGCAAAATGCCAACTTGGTCCATCAAATGCCGGACGGTCACACCGCTGGTACTCTTATCGCTTCATTTATGGAATGCAGTTGATATGAAGCGTAGCCAGATGGAGAACTGAATACATGCATGCAGCGATATCTACCAAAGCGTTTGTTGGCACGAGGCCAACAGGGAACTCGCCAAAAATGCTCTTTCGATACCGTGCAAAACAAGGGTTTTCTTCTCAGGGTTTTGAATGTTTAACCTCGATTTTTCACCATTTTTCCACTGTAGAGTTTCCCCTCTACTATTCTAGCGCAAGTACCCAATTATCGTGCCTTATTTAAGTGTGCAACCCTACCTTACTGTTCAACAGTAGTGTGCTGACTGTGAGCTTGTGTACTCGACAAGTGGAAACACCAGGAGACTGGTTACCTCAAACAGTTTGATATGAGAGTGCCAGCTAGGAGATCACTCTTTCCGGGTTGCGGAGAGAGTGACGTCGTGCGCGCGACAGTCACTACTCTGTGGCCTAAATCTAAATGATCTGAGGCATTACTGATATAGTAGGTCGAGTGGACAAGCTGGGAAATTAGCTACCTGATTGTCCTGATACGGACATCTAGAGACTGTTCACGTTCTCCTTTTACAGTCATGCACCGAGATGGCGCATGAGGGGGAGGGGAGTGGATTGTAGCGCAGCCATGACTGGGTTCTCCACCATTGGTGCTAACCTCAGCCCACAACAATCGCCACCAACTTCCGCCCTCCACACCCTTCCTCATTTTCAGAAAATAAGGCTGTAGGTAGGAACTTGTTACCACGCTCACAGTCCCGAAATCTACGACTGGGGTAGAAAGGCCAGTCTTCCTGTTTGGGTAACAACTGGAACCACCCTCGTGGTTCAGTTGTTACCGCTGGAGCACATTCGCCAGCTGTTCTGTTCGCTCATCATCGGTAGGTTGATTTCAAAGGCAGTACCTAGAATGGAAATGCGTCTTTGAGTCTGAACCTTATTGGACCTTACTTGCAGAAGCGCGGAGCTAGCGAGTGAGAAGATGGACGCCCACTCGGTGCCACTGCAGAGGAACCGGGGGGGGGGGGAAGGGGCATTCTGCAAAAATTTTATGCAGCGAAGGCCTTCAACACCTACAACTAATCGATTACCTGCAACCGATAATGTGAGCGATTAACTACACTCCTTCCCCCTGTGCCTTGAACCGTAGAAATTCGCAGTGCTTTTGGAACCAGCGCTTCACAGCAAGACACCCAATGTTTATGGAACGGGTGGATTTTGTAAACAATTATGTAAACAAAGAAATTAATAAGAGAAAAATAATTTATAAAACGAAAACGTCACAATAGGCGGCTATACGAGTCGTAATATTTACAACACACAGGACATTAAGCGAAGTAGCAGCACAATCTTCAGATAGGAATCAATCCGTCTTGGTGATCAGATCTCAGTGGATGAAAGCTGAAATTGAATAATCGTTAGATAATATTTAACCGGCGCAGTTTGTCGACGGGGGGGGGCATTTTGCTTTCCATAGATGTGTCGACCCATCTAGGCAGCCGTTTCTCGAGTTGACACGTTTTAGGATAGTGGCTAGACGATCTTACTTCAGCTTCACAAGAGTTCACAAGTTTTACCAGAGTGAGATTTGTAAACCGGAACTAGGGAAGCAATGATAATACAAAATGCCCCCCGTCGACAAACAGCGCCTATTCAACCTTTAACAGCCACACTTCGATTATGTGAGCAATTGCTGTTAACTCCACTTTTTATCCCGGATGAAAAGGGGCGTTGCCGGGTGTACTCCATTTGGACATAGCGTGAGATGCGTTTTTTTTCTGGGATATTTTTATTCGAGGCAACTATTATAATGTAACGCTCTCCATAGAGACATGGTTACAATTGCCTAGAAAAGATCCACCCATCCAATATCATCCACCTGAAAGCGCAGCCATCAAGTCGAGAACGCAGCCAAGCCCTCTCCATGTGTGGGCTATAGAGAGGACATGTTCTGAGGCAGTACGCTCTCAGCGCGTTGAGGAAATGACCACTACACCGCTACCTCACCCACGATCCTCTTCCATCTTAAGGTCTAACTTCATCCTCTTTCGACCTCCTCTTTCCGCCACCAAGATAATGGGCCTACTTCTATGGCCCCTGAGGTTCCGCGTGGGATTCTTAACGATAAGGAATTTTTATGGGGGTAAAATTAGTATAGACGCTCCGGGAAGACGGGTCATTCCACTAGTTCCTTCGTGATTCTCAGCCATCTTTGAATTGGTAAGGCTTTCCTTGCCTAAGTAATTCGAATCGAATGCATCGCTTCCTGAACGGGGTTTTATAAGCAATCCTCCCCTTTTCCTCACCCTTAGGATAGGGAGGGCGTATGCGTGTACTTATATGTGAGCGCGATTGCGCATGGGTATCAACATGGACGCGCTCTTCCTCGGCTGTGCACCTGTGAACATCCTCGGACTAAACGAAGGTTCGGGAAGTGTACAGACTTCCTTTTGAGTTGTCTGCACTCATCTCCGAACATGCTGCCTGCGCTTTCTACTGTACTTCTTACTGCCGCGTGTCCATCAGCCTTCCTCCTTTCTTTGCCTCCCCAAGACTAGCCTGAGACTAACTCAATACAAGTGCTCGTCTTATCCTGGAGATGGGGGAGGGCGTGTTCATGCAAGAACACGCCCCTCCCCCATCTCTAGGATAAGACGAGCAAATGTGAGCGCGGCTAGTTCCGCCGTTAGCTATCAGCTTTTAACTTTGACGCCCTGGACACGCCTTCCCCATCTCCGCGACATGGGGTGTGACAAACTCCATTTGGTGCATATCTCTCCTTGAAGGACGAAACCAAAAAATGTATTGCTAGTGAAATGTGTGTGAGAGAGAAACCTGCTGTGAGCGATTTGCTTCTTCGGCTTTCTTTCTGCCAGAGTCTCGCATCTGAACCTTAACGAGACTTTAGTTGATCATGTGCTGGCAGAAGGAAGCCGAAAACCATCACGGTACTGACGATATTGATTTTGAACACAACTGGGTCGTAACATAGGGGGGGGGAAGTTTTGCCATGCAGCTGAAGCTATCTGAGAACGGACCTGCAGTCGTTATAACTGGAGTCAGTCGAGCCGCACGTGGGTTTTGGAGCGGCGCCAGCCACTTTCCCACCCTTCGTTGTATGCCCGAAACATTCGCTGGAAAAGGGGTGGTGCACAAAAAACACGCACCGCTGACACGCCCCCACGGACCTTCAGTGGCAACGACCGCTCATATGGTGGCCAGGCCCCCGAAGCAAGACATTCAGCAGTGTCTTGCTACTTGAATTTCGCCTTGAACTGCCCCCCCCCCCTCAAGCCTTTCACATCGGCACACTTCTATGCTTTGGGTAAGTTGTAGGGAAAGCGCTCCTGAACTACTTCACGGGGTTTTCTTAGGTTGCAGTGGGTGGGCAAATCTTCAATGTCGGCAAAAGTGGCAGCTTGTATTTGCCTGGAAATTTTTTGCAAGATTGATGCGCCCATCGATCCTGTTTTCCGCTCCCCAAAATGGCAGGCTACGGAGATCTGATAGGAGCGTTTATTAAAGAAATATTAATGGAGTAGCTTATGTTACAGTGCGCATCAGTTACAGTATCTACTGGGTTACCGTATCTTCCATTTTTCTTCCTGGGACCTTCAGTATTAATGCGGTTTGATTTCGAACTTGTTAAGGCTGCACTGACCTCTTGTAAAACCTTCGTTTGAATGGGAGCCGTACGCTTCCGTTCATTTGACTCTTCGATTTTCTCGTTGAGTCGACTTCTCTTCTTCAACAATCGGACGGGTTTCGTCTCATCATCTTTCTCTTTTTCCTTCTCCTTATTGTCTTTATTGTCTTTGTTATGTTTCTTGCTGAGCTTTTTCTGAAAACTATCCATTTTAACGAGAATTTCCATTCTGCAGTCATTAGTTCTGCAAGAGAGAAGGCGTGTGAAAGGGCGTGGCTTTGGGGCGGAGCCACGGCAATCTTTTCCACCAATAGCGGTTCGGCCCAGACGCCACGCCCCTTTGCACGCACTGTCGTTTGCAGGGCAGCCCACTTCCCCGGAACAAGGCAATTTTGTCACAATTGAAACGAACCTTCTTTAATTCGACGTGGCAAGCGTCGTAAAGCCTTTTCAGTTGCTTTTTCTTAGCGACTATTTCCTTCCTCTGTACAGCATTGTCCTGACAACTGGAAAATATCAAATTATAGGCCTGCCGAAGAGAATGAAACAGCGACATGCACTCACCTTTTCACCGCTCCACAGCATCTTTGCTATTTTTGCACATTGTAGGCGCTGTTTTTTCGCCTTCCCTTATGCAACTTTTAGGTTTCTCCCTTCCGCTCCCTGTTTCTGTCTTTACGTTTTAAGCGGCGCTCCGAGAACTCAGCAGAAGTCGAACGCTTTGACTAAAAACTCGGTTTTTGGAGATAAAGGTAAACTGAGCCTGTTCATTCCAACAGCCGATCGATTTTGATGAGCCGCAGGAACCTCACCTTCTTGAGGGCCATTTTACATTTCTCGAGCTTCCGTGGACTGAATGGTGAGGCGGTTTCGGCATGCTCCCGTACACACGTTTCAACTTCCGCGTTTCTCTGCAACAAAACTATTATTGACCCTCTTTTCAATCCAAACTGGGCAGCACCTTCTGTACCAATTTCCCAGAAAGTTGTTTTAGGAGAGGGTGAGGGGAAAAGTCGGATACTGGTTTTTTTCCCGTCATCGGAACAAGTACTCTATTCTGGTGTGAATTACTGTGAACTCAAAGAGCTTTAGGGGTGACATCCACAACGAATTGGGGAAAACTATTCATTCTGGAGCCCATCCCCCCCCCTGTTTAACGGCGAAAAATGAAGATATCTCACGGTTGCGACCTCGGACATAGCGGAGAGGTGCACCTGAAGGGGATTCCGGTAGTTTCCGACAACAAATCATGCTCCTCAAGCTATGCTAACAAAGAAAGTAGTACCTAGTTTGATTGCGATGTGCAGTTCTGTTTCGCTGTGGACGCCAGTGGCGTTCAGGACGATGGGCATGGCGCGGCCAATTTTTTACACAATTAAGGTGCCTGCAGATTCCATAATTGACGAAAAGCGGCTACGCCGCGCCGAAGTCATCGCCCCCAAATCACCCAAGCATTCGACCGAAGCAGACTGCAAATTCTAGAGAACTCGTTAGTGATAGAGTTCTGGTGCGTTCCTACTGGTTGGGATTTCCACGAAAAATGCCGCAACAAAGCGAAAGATCCCCAGACTGGGTGAATAACGAGCTTTGGTACGGTTGGTTCCTGGAGACTCACACTCAAATATTCAAGAGATGTTCGTGTCTGTGAATATTTGAGTAGGTGAGTCTACAGGAACTCATGTCATTCAAATATGAGATGGCTGACTCTCGCAATATCTTGTCACAAGGATTTCGACAGTTTCTTCAGCATTCTGGCACCTGAAGGACTGACTGGCATATTTGTGCCTCCTGGGGCATCTGAAGGACTGACTGGCATATTTGTGTCTTCTGGGACTAGTCAGCCAAGGGAACTGCCTTTGAACTTATTCTTGAAATAAGTGATGAAAGAATGAGAGGACAGGTGAGTAATGGATGAAGAATGAATGAAATAAGAGAGTACCTCGTCATAGAGTGCTTGTAGTTCAGCATGGAGATTGGCAGCACCTGCACAGCGCTTCCTGCTGTTTTGTATGATCGCGGTGGCGTTCTCCTCCAGACATTCGGCCGATTTTTGATTGGCTTTTGCCAAACAGTTGGCATATTCCTCACAGAACTGCGGCTAAAATTGTTGATTATTATATTATAACAGTAATGCTACTCATTTGCATGCAAATATCTTGTACTGTTTCTTC